AGAATCATAGAATCATCCGGAGGTGCGGGGTTTCTCTCGCTCGAGATGCTGTAACGTTCAGCGCTAAACTGCTGCTTTCCCTGCAGAACGTGGCTTCCCCTGCCCCGCTGGGGAGTGGGGCTGTTTCAGCTACAGCCCCGCTACTGACATCTCAAAGCTGTCTTCCCTGAGCCAGCGAGAAGAACGTTTTCTGGTAGTCTCAAGGTTTTTCTCTTTTCCTTTTCCACCTAGTCTATGCGCACTTAAAATCGTGTTGGCAAGAAGGACTTAATCTTGCAGCGGAATCGCTGGGGATGCCTCCTGTCTCTATGGGATTTCACTTGTTTAGGCTAGTTGAATGTGTTGGACTCTCTGTTAATCTCTGTTCAATAAGAAACCTTATTATCTTGAGGCAGTTGCCAAAATGCCACCGTTCAAGTTAAAAACGTTTTACTGGGATCATCACTGCAAAGAAATAGAACTGAGGTGAGTAGGTAGGCTATCTAAAGGTCTAGTAGAACATTGCTGTTTCTTGTATTGCATGGTGATGTTTTAAAGCCTGGTGATACCGAAGTATGTGCTTTGGGTAGTTTTTAGTCTGTGTAAATACACTCAGAATAGCTTTAGCTTGGCTGGGCTGGCTATTGCTTGCAATGTCACCGTAATAGCAGGGAGGTTGGTGCCAGCATGCAAAACCTGCTTGAGAAACCTACTCTGAGAATTACTAGCTCCTGTGGAGTTCCTCAGTACCACAGCTATGCTGATGGCAGTAGTGGTTTATACCTGGTTTTCCTGTCTCTGAGCTATGAGAAATACTGCACAACTGTATATTTAGGTATTAAGAATAAAACTTTTATGTGGGCATTTGGCTAGAAGTAGGATGGGAAGGCCACTTTGGCTCTGCTGTGGGTCCGTGCTTCTTGCAAGAGGTTGATGATGTGTGAACCTGATCTGGAGAATGGGCCCAGACCTACAGACATGGGGACTCGGTTTGAACCCTGTAGACTTTGTGTTGCGGTCCGCCTGTGTTAAAATCTTTCTTACCCTTAATCTAGCTGCAACGCCTGCCCTGGTGCCTATCTTTGCTGAGCATTTGGAGTTCACAGTGTGAATGTAGCATGGCCTTTCAGCTGCCTTGTAGTCTGCAAGCACTTGGATAGCATCAGTGAATTTGTGCTTTAATTTCCCCTTTGCTGTTGTGTGCAAAAGCTGTTTTCTGGGCATCAGCAGCAGGAGCATTAGAGCTTGCAGACGTGGATATTGTAGTAGAGCTCCTTCCAGTGTGATTGTTTGCCGTGATTGCAAATAGATGATTTTTTTTTTTAAATGAAGGCTTTTCTGTAGTTTTGGATTTAATTCACCTGTAAGGTCTCTTCTTCACCTGGGGCAAAGCATCATTTCTCATATGCACCCAGCAGCCCCCATCCCAGGGCTCTTCTATATTGTGGCAAGTATGTAGTTTTCTTAGCTGCAGAAGTTTGATACCAAAACCTGGATTGAACACTCTGGAGCACAGCATTAGTGGTAGTTTCTTTTTGGTAGTTTCTTTTGACTGAGGTTAAGCTTCCTGGGAGACAGAAGCCTGCATTTCTATATACCAAACTGTACCGTAGATGTTTTATGACCTCATTTTTTTGCACATCATTTAATCTCTCTTCCCCCCCCCCCTTCTTATTTATAAAGCATTTACTTTGCAGGGATGTTACAGGGGTGGGGTTTGTTAAACATTGAGACTCCATTGGGAAGCATTGTATACTGAAAAATGTAGATAACAGTTTCTTTCTCCTCTGAGCTCAAAACTCTGGAAGAAGTTGATAAAAGACCCAAACTCTAATCTAGTGTAAACTCAGGTAATCTAATGTGTTTTGATGGATTTCAATGATAAACATGTCCGAAAGCAGTATGTCAAAGCATTTTGGGATAAGGTCTTGCAGCATGTTGGGATCCCTAATCTGTAAGCGGGGCCTCTCTTGGTAACAGCTGGGTGAGCTGTGGCTGTTTACATCCTTCTCCTGGAGGAGTGATGGGATGATTTAACTTGTCTGACATCTGTTTTTAGTAAAGAGGAATCAGGATTCTTGGGTCCAGCTGCATGTAGAAAAATAATGCTGAAGATTTGGCTCATGGTCCCTTGTGCCCCAAGAGGGCGCAACGGCGGCAGCAGCATAGCTCTTGGTTTAATCTAGGCATGTTTTTTGAGATGTGTTTTTGATGCTGAAAGGAAAAACCCGTAAGTGTTGGTTTCCAGTTTATAGCATCTTTGATTAGTTGGATGGAGAATCGTCCAATGAAAGCTTTATAAATTGAAACGGGTGAGGGTCCAGCTTGCCTTAAGGAAAAATATCACTCCCTGTAAGTACAGCGGAGTGTTGAAATGGGAGCCCACAGAGGTTGTGGCACCTCAGTCCTTTACAAGACCCAACTGGCCAAAGCCCTCAGCATCCTGGCCTGGCTTCTGTTTTGACCCTGCTTTAAGCAGGAGGCTGGATGAGGTTGTGACCTGAGGAGCCCTTCACGTGTGCTTGTGGCAGTGCATGTAAACTGCTCCGGGGAACAGTGCCCTTCTCTGTCTGCACGGAGCAAAGGACAAAGGGCCCCCCACTCCTGTAGTGCCTCGTTAAAAATCACCCTGTGACCTGCACTGGGGTCTTCTGCTTTGGCTGGGTGAGGAGGGCACTAAAGGTTACAAGTGCACATGCTGTACGCTCTTAGCTTTTTTTTATCCTTTGAAAGTTAGAGGCTACAATGCATGACCAAGAATACAGTATATTCTAGCTTCGTATGTCTTTCAGGCTCTCAGTTCAGCAAAATATTTGCTTAATTGAGGATGTGATGGCCCACATGCTTCGATTCCAAGCAGTTTAAGTGCTTTCAGTTGGAGATGTAAAAATGTCTTAGTTGTGACATGGTGTTTGAGCCTCCTGCTGCAGATGTAAAATCCATATGGCAGTGAGTCTTAATTGAAACCTGCTGGTGTTATTTTTCTCCTGCAACATATTATATGAAATATTCTTTATGCAGCTGGCTTGAAAGGATTACCCTTAATTAGATATTTCTAATCAATTAGTGCTATTCTTTTCTGTAATGCTCTTCCTTTCTAAGAAACATGATTTTGAGTTATATAAGGCACTTTGATTTGATATTCTACATATCAAATATGGCCTGTATGATTTATTAATTATTTTATGCCATGGGCTTTAGGTAGAAGTCATTCATCGCAGCATTGTTAGTCGTGTGGGTAAGTCCCTCCAGGTGTGTTGTGTACTGAAAAGCTTGTCTGAAATCAGAGCCGATTGCTTGAAAAGTTAGGTCTCTAACTAGGTTTTAGATTCAGATGTTTATAGTACTTTCTGGTATTTGTTGCTGTTTGGTCAGACTGTTAGGTCAGTTTGCAGGGAAGTGTGTTTTGTGATTGTGAAGAAGTTTGGAGAAAGAAATACAAAAGCTGATGTAGCTTAAAGCGTATTCCCCAAAGTAGATTACTCCAAGAGTCTGGAATGTGTTGGTGGGAGGCTTCAGTTTTAGTGAGCTGTTGCTCCATGCAGGCAGGAGTCCTTCCCCTCCTAAATAATTGTTTCCATCTGCATAGCTTATTCCATCGGCCCCAGGGCCACTAATGCCTGGACTGTTGAGCTGTCTGCAAAATTTGGGTCTCTTGTAAAAATGAGGATCTTTCTCACTAAATCCTCTGTGCTAGCTATGTATGAAGGGAACTTTGCTGTTGTCATACAGAAAAATAACAGGGCAACCCCCACTGCGGGACCTTTTAAAATAAGCAACATTCTGGTCTTTCTTTCATGTCCTTTTAAATTTTTAGAGGGAGAAGTTTTGGGACCCTAGAATCTTACTGCATAATGTCTGGCAAGCCTCTTATTAATTCACTAGTTGTCTGAGAGTTGTTTAGTTTTTATAGAATATGAATTTCTTTCCATCTATGATAACTTGCAATGTCCCTGGCTACTTGACTTGAATACTGTGGCTTATGGTCTGTGAGATGTCCACGTGAACATGCACGCTCCCATCATATGGTGGAGCCTGAGCGTAGGAAATGACACTGAGTGCAACATACAGTTGAGACCTCAGCATTTCAGTCATCAGCTTGGCTGAGACCCAAGCACACTTCTAGCATGCGAATACCTGTTTGTTGATTTTGCAGCACTAATGTACTTATCCCTTTGTCCTCTTTTGCCCTTCTATAGAAGGTTCCTTCTAGGATGATGGACTTTGATAGCAGTGGAGGTTGGTACTGACACGTGTTACTGTGTATTGGGACTGCCAAGAAGGTGGTGAGGGCAGTGGCAAGAGCTTGCTCCACCATGATACGCTTGGGGTTCAGCGGTAGCATAGGAGGCAGCCTGTGCATTGATGAAGCAGTGACAGCAGGCTCCTGAGCAAGAGTTACCGTTTTATACTTCTCAGTTATCCCTGCCTGGGTCACCTAATGAAGCACGGGAGAGACATCGTTGTAACTCCGAAACAGTGTCATGGCATGAATGCAGAGTATTCTTCACTCCCTTCCCTATGCACTCTTCTCTCTGAAGGGTCTCGTTTCTGAATTAGTTGAGGTCACTTAAGCACCTGTTTCCTGGAGGAGGTGACATGACAGATGTCTTTTTCCTCAACCTTCAGTTCTTGGTGAACCTTCACTGGGCTTAGCCTGTGGTGGACATGGAGAGCATACCCACCAGGAAAGGAAGTCTGCCTGGTGGGGGCTATTTTGTAGCACTGCTAGTTTGGGGCAGGAAGACGACTTTTGCGTGATGGCTCTGAAGCTTGTGCGTGAGGCTGTCTTGATCATGGTGGTTACCATTCAAGTGCTGTCAACTTAAAACTTTGTCACTGCTGCTGCCAAATTAACAGTTATGCTGGAGTCCTGGGAGCTCAGATTTTTCAGTGTTTCTGTATGTACACAATTGAGCATGCTGCCAGTGCTTGAAACTCCTTTTCTCCTGCTTGATCATACTTCTGACAACTCTAATCAAGTGACCAAGACTGGAAATGAAAGTGGTGATTCTTGTCTTGAGGGTGCTGTTTGAATTCTAAGGCAAAAACGACTGTGTATAAGCTCTTGAGTGAACAGGAGCCTATAACTCTTGAAAGGTCCATAGCAGGTGGCCAATATATAATGGAACTGGAAGGATATCCTCTTTAGGCAACAAATAAATACAGCTTTGCTGATGAAAGTTGTTTTTCTCGGTCAAGGTAAAGCTCAGACAATGTTAATGTTTGAAAACAGCAGGGCTAACACAGTGGAAGGAAATCCTTGCATGCCTCATAGCGGAAGGTGGACATGAGGCTGCAATATATACATCCCTGCAGCTGATGTGAGATACTGTTGTTTTGGTCAAATATTCCAGAATCCTGGACTCACTCCAGCTTGTGCATAAGAAGGGTAAAAGTAGATAAAGGTAACAGCTGTATTTAGATGCAGTATTTCCTTTGACTAATGGGAGAGGAAGGATACCTCCTGGGAGCAGTCCTTCTAA